AATTTTTGGAACTTAACTTTTGCTTTTGTTTTTAATTGCTTAAAAATGTTCTGTTTAGTTGATAACTTGTTCTCTTCTACAGGTAAAGCAGGTAAGGGTTTATTATCTAAGTAGAATGAATTCTTTAGATTTTCATTTTGTGTTTCACTATCAGTTAATTGCTTGCTTAGTTTTTCTATTTTTTTGCTCTTTTGACTTGATTCTTCCTCCAACTTTTCAACTTGGGCTTCTAGATGAGAAATCTTTTTACTAGCACTCTCGAGTTTCTTGTTTTTTTCTTTTATGTCTTCTGCTTGAGCTTTACTTCATTTTTCACCAGTTGCTATGACTTCCTCAACTTGTTCCTGTTCTATTTTTACTCTTTCTTCTAGCTCTTCTACCTCTGCTTCTAAATCTTTAATTTGTTTGATCTTGTTTCCTATAATATCTTTAATTGCTGATCCTTTTATAATCGGCAGAAAATTTTCAAATATTATTAAAAAATTTTGGGATAAGATAAATATAAATTTTAATATAAATTTAAAATCCTAAAAGAACCAATATTAAATTCATTCCTAATGTCAAAAACTCGTTGTATTCCTGTTACTCTTTAAATAAAAGTGCTTTAGTAAGCAATTTACATTATTTTCTTGTTATTGATGGCAGCCTTCTGATAATGGAAAAGTATTCTCTATTCATGGTTTTCTTTTTGGATCAGTAAGAAACAATATTTAAAAAATAGGTAGGTGTCTTTGAAAATATACAACAGGTCAATAACACCAACTGCTACATCTTAAAAACAATGGCTATTATTGCTCAAGCACTAGAGAGTAAATAATTTTTTAATTTCTTCACTAGATTATTTAAAGTCTTTGGAAAAAAAATAGGTTAATGAATGAACATAAGGATCTTTTGTTTATTCATTTTAAAAAGGATTTATTAATACAGATTTCTAACATTTTATTAATGTTTGTTTTCTTCTATGGTTGAACAGTGGATAATTGTTACATGACCATCAAAAATATTCTAAGAGGTAATAATATGAGGGCTTTTCAATAGAAACAGATCATGTTGTGAAAATGATGTTTTGAGAAGATGAAAAAAGATCTGCATTTTAACAAAATTTCTGTAATGTATATTAAATTGAGAATTCTTCAAGGATCCTGTAAAATATTTTGTGCTAGAAGTTATCCAAACCAAAAATGAGCTGAAAATATCCATGAAGAAATATTGGAACATATGGAATATGGAAATATTGAAGAAAAAACAAAAGATTTCAACCATTTCTAATTGGATAACTAGAACCTATGTGGGTTGGAAAAAAACAAATGGGAGAAGAAACATTATCTAATTTGTAAATTTAATTTTTTTTATGTCACAGCTTGTTTATTAATATAAGTATATAGAAATTATTATTATCATTACCTATTGATGTTAAATTTTTTTTTATTTGATGTTCGCATAACAAAAGATCTATTTTTGAAAAGATAAATATTAATACAATGTTATATATAATATACTGTAATATATATCAACTAGAATATTTTTGATGGTTGTGTGACAATAATCCATCATTTACTATAGATCTAAACATTAATATTAATACAAGAATTAATATTACCCAACTAGAATATTTTTGATGGTCACATAACAAACATCCATCATTCAAATAAACATTAATGCAATGTTATATATACAGTATTTACTTATTACCATTAGTAATATTAACTAGGGTGTTGGTGTTGATTTTTTCTTTGATGGTAACAATAATAATAGTCATTTGACCATAGATCGGTTTTTTGAATATGCATGAAAAACTATTGGAACATGTGGAATATGGAGAGCTTGAAGAAGAAATTCCAAAGATTTTGACATTGCTAATTGGATAACTAGGACCTATGCAGGTTGGAAAAAACAAATGGCCAAAGAATCATTAGGTGCTTCTAGTTTATACAGTCAGCGCTCGATATAGTGAACCTACTGTATAGTGAATTGTACGATATAGTGAAGATGGAAAATTTCCCATTTCATTATATATAAATTCAGCTCGATATAGTGATTTTTAATATAA